ACTACTCTAGAATTTGGGGATGGAATAATGAACAAGACAGAAACCATTCTTTTCTCCTAGAGTTTATATTCTCATGGTGGCTTCCCCGTCATCATGGATGGGAACACTGAGTCAATAAATAAGAAATGCAATAAACTGACAGGATAATGTCAGCTCTGGGTAAGTGCTATGATAACAACCCAAAACGTAATGTAATAGAAAGTGAATGAATGATCAGCGAAGGGCTCTCCCTATGAGTGTGACAGCTGAGCAATCCTTAGTTACCTAATTACATTATCATGATGCTGAACACACAACCATCTAGACACAGAGGAGTCCGTGTCCCGCAAGGGCATGTGCAAAGGCCCGAGGATGGGGGCATGCCTGATGTTTCTAAGAGCAGAAGGGAAGTGTGCATACTGGAAGCATGATGAGGGAGGAGGAGAGGAGCAGAAAGGGAGAGGTCAGGACTGCAGGAGCCAAGTCCTCCAGCAGTGACAGGGTGCCAAGGCGAAGCTCATTTTGGAAATGGTCAGGACGCCGAGCTGCTCTCCATTTTGACAGGGGAGGCAAAGAGTGAGCAACAGATAGCTCAGGTGGGCTCTCTGTAACTCAAAGATGAAGTTTTCCAATTAAAGTGTGAAGTAATCTCATCAAATCCAAGTGAGGGGGGAGTCTGCGGAGAAGGTGAGAGAGTCCTTATAAGGAGGAGAAGAATAAAACATGCTGGGGGTGGGGAGCAGAGAAGTGTATGAGCCAGAACTTAAAGCAAGTCAGGCGATCTTCACCGGCCTTGAGAGATGAAGAAAATGGATAGATTACTTACAGTGGCCTCAGTAATAATAAATTCCAAAGCAGGTATCACAGTCCTAAAGCTAATATATACTTTATTGTTGGTGGGAGTGTAAACTGGCATAATCCCATCTGGTAAGAAATTTATCAATATGCTTTTTAGTTGGATAATTTGGGAGATGGTGACAAAACAAGGGTTTGGGAGTTAGGGACGGCTGCATAAAAATCATGCGAGCCCTAATAACTCTGTGCGTTGATATCTTTTCTGAGGAGAAAAGTATTTTAACAGAACCACTGTATAAAATAGTTACAGAATAAGATGCTAGTCAAACGAATTTGATGAGTTCATTTGAATCGTCTGATATAAGTTCTGGCTTCATCTTAATATTGCTTTCAATCTTTAAGTATAGAAATGGCAATTTTGCCAACTTAAAGCAATTTTTAGCCACAAGTGAGAACTTTATCATGTATGGTCCAACAGATTTTGCAATACACTTCTCAGGCAAAATATGGATTATGTTGTTTTGATGACTCAGCCTCAGATTCCCAGGTGCTTTTTGGAGCAAACTGAATACTATTTTGTGAACCCCCCTTGCCAACTCATAGCATCAGAGAAATGATAGGAAGATACAACATGTATGGCACGAAGAAAAGACCACATTACAAAGTATGCTTAATGATGCAAGGTGAAAAGGTCAATGACATCCGAGGTCCAAGAGACTGAAAAAGAAAGTTAGGAAAAGGGATGATAATTCTGCCTTCTTACAGACAGAAGAAAACTTCAGTGCAGCATCAAAGAAAACAGAAAAGCTGTGACTGGGACAGGACAAAGGCCCATTAGTTTCTTAGTCAGCCAAGATCTTCCTAGTTCCTTAAAAGGTTTGACTGTCCAAAGGAAACTGTCAAGGATTTACGTTTTATTTTAGGATGGCATGCCCTGTCCAGAGCGTTCTCTCCCATCACATGCTGACTTCAGCTGGTGCAGGGATCTCAGTTCACCGTCGTATTCAGCTGAGCTCAAGCTGCTAAGAAGAGCAAGCTAGTGTTAGCCCATGTTTCAAGTTCAAGGGGCTACAAGAGTCATGGGGAAAATGGCTCATGATTTAAAACAACCTTTTATCACTACAAGAATGTGATCACTCTCAAGCATCTGCATGAGTGGTCAGTGACTACTTTTGCAGAGTCATCAGAGTTAAGGATTAATGATTTCCCAGAATAAGGCTGAGTTGACGTGCAAACCTACGTCATGGACAGCTCATCTACAGCCAAAGGTCTTCATCTAGCCTAGATAAAGCAAAAGCCCACTGATGCTGTTCCCATAACGGCTGGGCATGAGTAACGAAAGAAGCCTAGAGGAGCTAAGTGGTGACTGACCTACCAGTGTAGGCCACTGCTGGACAGACAAGGCGAGAGCCAATCCCAGTGTCCAGGGGTGAGAGAAATTCAAGCTGAAGGTCTCAGTGATACAGCCAGTCCAACCAGTATTTCACGCACATAATGAGTAGGAAAGCAATCTCTGTGGGCAGGACCTTCCCCAGCCGTACGTTACAAGCAGGAGAGCAGGAACAACCCCAGCTCTCTGCAAACCTTCCACCATGGGGAATTTAACTTCAGTGTTCTCAGCTGTGCCAGACCTCCTCCAGGCCAACGCCATAGTACCCATTTACCGAAAGGATGCAAGGCATTGTTGGGTTACACACACTGGCCCACTCCTGGCCCGCCATGTCACCATCCAACCAGTGCAACAGTAAAAAGACGGGGAGGGAAGGTGGGCCTTGGGGCCAAAGAGAGGATGGAGGGTGGCTGATCCAAGTGAGCGCTCACACCTTGATTTTTATCAAAAGTCACATGTAAAATATATAAATGGTACTGAAGTTTACATAGGATAGCAAAGAATACGTGTATATGAGTTTAATGATCAGTGTTGAGACTTTTTAATTTGCTCTTTTGTCCAGAAGTTCAAATCAATCTCTAGAGCTACGTGTTTTTTAAATATCAAGGCAGAAATTTCTAGAATAGCCAATTTCTAATGAGCAGATGACATAAGTTTAGCTGCTAAACACATGAAGAATGTTGCAGTCAGTCTATACTTTGGAGATTTTCTTTATGATAGCTTATCCAGGTCTATGTAACTCCGAAGAACTGTTTCAAAAATATGATGCTGTAAATAAAGAGCTAAGGAGTATACCTATACCACGCTTGAAAAAAACCCAGCTACTTACTTAAAAATCCATTTCTTGATTTAAGAGACGTTTGAGAGGCATAATGGATATAAATTTGACTAAGGCTTTTTTAGGTTATTGTACAAAGTTTACTACTAAAGGTCCCCATGGCTTATTATTACATTATTATTTAACGTTTACATATAAACTTACAGACCAAGCAATTTTTTTTTCTTGGTTTATCTTATTCTTACCTAAAATCCAACATTTTCCAAGAGTTGGGGAATTTATGACAGAGTTTTTATGTGTATTACATAATTCTATTTTAACAGAGTTAAAGCTCTTTGCTTTTAACAAAGACATACACAGACTGACATACTCTACTTCTGGTAAAAAAAAAGAAAAATAAAGAATGCAAAAATAAAGTGGAGAAAACCCAAATAGCACGTTTTGTTTAAAAAGTCAAAAATTCCTACATTAATTTTTATTGATATTTGCTTCTTTTTGCTCTTCCCCATCACACACACACGTGCACACACATACAATACACACATTACCACACAAAACACACACTACACACACATGCACAATGCACGCCAACACAATACATATCACACACACAACAAACCCAACACACACCACACACACACACACAAGTACACACCACACACGTCACATACCACACACATACAAAACTCAACCCACACCCACACACACAGACTCACACGCATTTACACACACAGAGCTTCTTTCACTTCAGTTTTTTTGGGGATGGGGGCAGGTAAATGGCTCCTCATTCTACATTTCCAAGACATCTGAAGAGTCGGTTCGTGCAGCTGATGCACTTACCAGAACCCGAACCTTCAGAGCCTTACAACCATAGGTCTCATTTTCAGGCAAAAACAGAAAACGCTGAGAACCTCCCAAAGAAACTCCAGGCTAGACTCTCTTTCAAGGAAGACCATGGCTTGGGTGACATGTGCCGCTTACCATTAAAAACATCTGATTTTGCCAAAACCCCAAATTCTACTCTCTAAACTGTGGTTCTGAGAAAATCACTCACACGTTTCTATTTGAGGCAATGTTAAATCATTCACTCTACCCGTCTTGAGGCATGACAGTCACAGGGATGTGGATTTAAATACATACGGTTATGATTTCGCTTATAGCTGTTAGGGTCTTAGCTCGAAGGCTCTGGGTTCACACACTTTCAGATACATCTTTTCTCCAAGCTACCCACAAGTGTCCCACTCAACACCGAGAGCCACGGCTAGAGGGTCTCAAGGGCACTTTTAGGCCAAGAGTTCCAGAAGCAGACACACATACACACAAAACACTGTTCTACAACAAAGCAAACCCCAAATCAGGCAAAATCTATGCAGGGGACAGAAGGTTTTTAAGGGCACCATTTAGCAAGGTGATATTCAAAATAGTTGACCACCAGCTGGGATGGAGCCCCATGGAAAGGCTTGGCGGTTTCCAAGCAACCAGGGAAGCCCAGGGCCTCCTCACTGGGAGTCAGGAAGGCAGCCTGGTTGCCTGATTTGAGTGATTATGAGCGCTGGAGAGAGATGTTTCTCATCAGGAAACCTCTCGCTTAGTCATTCCCATAAATATTCGTGGCACTACCTCAGTAAAGCTCCGTGGAGAGTAAACCCTACAATCTGCGCAACAGACGTTTTTTTTCAACTGTGCAGACAGCTTTGAAAAAAAACTTCGCTGAAGCCACTGCAGTGTCAGGGCGATATTAATTACAGGGCTCTGTGGCTATGATACGGAAAATCCATCCTGAGGGAATCTGTGTTCTTAGACGTGGCAATCCAATTATATACAATTGATCCAAAGGTGGCTGTTTTTCAACTGCTTGATGACTATTTATAGTAACAGTAATGCCCCAAATTTTATGGTTATGAGATTTTTTTGTTTTCTGCAAAGCTTAAAGTGCTTCATAGACGCTTCCTAATTAATCTGAGGTCATTGCCTCACTTACGATAATCATCTCAAGTGAGATATTCCACACCCATGCACCATGCAACAGCAAAATTGGCCCTGAAGAGGCACACAGACCTGAGCCCATACAGCACTGTCCCATCAGGGTGAAGGCGGATCATGCGGTTTTTCACTGTCACTCCATGCACAAATGACTTTTTGTCATTTAAGAAATATGTGTCGGGCACCCATAGCTGGTCAGCCACTCGATTGTCAAGCGTGAGGTTGAGAGGGATCCCAGAATAGGCGAGCCTTTTATCTCTCCAATATTGTTGAAAATACATGGTTAAGGTATAATCCTGGGGGGAAAAGAAAAGAAAGAAAGTTAGTTTGTACTCATCCACAGGCGTATTTCCTCCACGATCAGCCAAATTCAGGTTGCAATCTAGGCTCTACAGCCAATAACCAGGAGAAATGGATGTCATTTTTATGCAGGATAGGAAGCAATGGCTGCTTTCTTGTGAATGCAAATACCAGCTTTAATAGGAACACGAATCTGTGTGTGTCACGTATAGACGTCCTCTGTTTTACTTAGGTAAGAAGCAGACTAGACAAACTGGCATTTAACAGATAACAGCATAGAAATAAAGGGGAAAAAGTCATTGTAAAATCAGATTGCTGGCGGGGAACTAGATTGTTCCCATGGATGTTCCCTCTCCCAGCAGGCAGACAGGTGCTTTAACCACCCACGACAGATGAGCTCTGTCTACAAACTCTCTCTCTGCAATTTGAGCCACTTTCCTCTGGTGCTGCCCTCCACGAGGGTTATAAACACAAACCCGCCATAAACATCCTCCGCAGACGCCAGGGCCTGTGGGAGGTCTCCATGCCCTACCTATCGTACTTCTGTTTTCCTCCAGCTTGCCGTGGCCATTTCTACATTAAGCGGACCATAGAATCACCTGGAGATGATGAGCTATTCACCTGGGGAAAATGGGACCCTGAGGTCAAAGCAGGATATGGGAGGTGGAAGACAGACGGGGCCATGGTGTTGTCCACAGTCTTGCCCACAAAATTACCAAATGTCTACGTGATGGTTCTGCTTTTGTTTTGCCAAAGCAGTTAGTTCAGTGAGAACAAAGTGGAAAAAAAGACGAATCAGAGGCTAGACATGGGGGAACAAAAGAAATTCTCTTTTTGTTGGGGGCAATCACCATTCAGTTCTAGAATGACCAAGTCTAAAACTCTGGTGATATTCACAGGACATTTCGAACCACTCTGTGGAAGGATACAAGCTGGAAAATCAAAAGTTAGGAGGTAAATTCTCCAACCACGGAGGGAAAAAAATCGCTGCCATTCTGCACAAGCCGCGTTCTGAGTTCACACCCTCTAAGATCATGTCTGTAAACATCCTCATCACCTGTAGGCAGCGAGGGGTGGAGAGCTAATCAGCTGAAGAATCCAGCCTAGACACAGCCTCCTGACAACCCTTCCAGTGTTCTCTTTGCTTCTCACAGGGCAGTTCACGGTGTTGCTAACCGATGACTGTCTATGGCTGCTCTCGGTAGTGCTGGAATACAGAGGCTTAGAGACGGATAGGGGACATGGGTTTGTCTTCAGGTGCTTGCCACAAGAGGGGGAAACAAAACCAGCTTGTACTATAGCACTATAAACAAAATACATTTTTAAGCTTCGAGTCTCATAAAAATTAAGAGTAGAAGGAAAGGCAAGAAAGTCCAAATAGGCTGGACAGTCTTTAGAGAGGCCTTGTCTTCAACTGAAGGAGAGGCAGCATTGAAGCAGACGAAAAGAAGCAGGCATTTTTCTCCCCAGACACGTTTGTAGGCAGAGCTCTGTGCCTAGTAATAACCTGTGGGGGCCCTCACCACCACCACCAATGGAAGATTCTCACAGAGCAGATGGCACTAAAGATAAGCCTCGGCTAGGCAGACAGCACACAGGGCACATCGAAAACACACAGGCCGTTGCTTTTAAGGGCCTGATGAAAAAGCCTGTGGAGTGCAGTTTGGCTGGAATGCTGGGTTTATGGGGAGAAGAGAGCAGAGCGATGGGTCGGGCTAGACCCCAGGGCAGTGACCAGAAGGTGGAAACTAGAATGCCACCTTCGCAGCCAATGAAAGCCATGGACAGTTTCCATGGAGCAGAGAGTCATGACCAAGAGTATGAACCGTGTCTTTTATTTCTGTATTCTGATGCTTGGATCTGCGACCCTGTGGACCTTGGAGGGAGGGCCCCTTCCAGGGCTGGCTAACTCCTAGAGATGGTAAACAACTCTCCTAGGAATGTAGCTTTCACATACAAACCAACCAGTCCAGAACCCACACCCCAGCCACCTCTTTTGTTTGTTTTTACAGTCCAGAGGTCTTTTATTTTTTATACCTATTATGCCATAAATTCACAGGGCATAGATTTCAGCGGCTAAGACTCCAACCTCCTCTTTTACTGAGCTTGCACTTCTGGGGTCCCTATCACCCGCCTAAACTGCCCCAGGTCCAGGTACTGGACAACTAAAGACAGCCCCTGTGCCCCATGGGCCTGAAATTATTTAAACCGGCCAATTCTGAGCCTGCTCCCCCCGTGCCACCCATTCCTTCCCAGCAACCACAATAAAGGCATTTCCCCTCCCTCTGCTGCCTGACCCACCCTGGCGCCCCCAGAACAGCCCCCATGGCATGGTGTGGCTCCCCGCTGCCCCGGAACTGGGAGGAACACACTCTTCTCAATGGCAGTCATCTCCTGATCTGTCGGCCTTGCCTGACCTAAATAATAATAAAACCTCCATCTTAAAACACAAAGCCACTTGTGAGGAAAACTAGCGTAGCAATGGTGAGTTCAAGGGGTAGAGGGGATGGCGTGCAGGGGCCTCTGAGGAGTGGACAGTGCTGAGTGGTGGGTAAAGCAAAGGCCTGAAAGGTTCTCGGACACTGGGCTGATGCGGAACATCAGGAAGAGAATGCACCTTCCCAGGGCATATTCCGCCCCTTCATCACCACTACCTTTCGCTGGTGTGGGTGGTGCGCTGGAACTGAGGCGTGCGAAGCTGTGGTTTCACAACAAAAGGACGCGTGTTAGCAGTGGCAACCACAGGGTCCATGTGACATTCGTGTTGAAATAGAAGTTTCCCTTGTTTCTTTCTTTACTCCTAACCCCGCATCCTTAACGCCTGAGTCGCGATGTCTGGTGCCCTTCTCAGAGCCCCTCTGGATGGGCTTGCACGAGGCTTGCCACGAGAAGGGAGAGAACTCGTCCGTCAGCCCTGGGAGCCAGCTGTCACTCACAGCCTGACAGCTTGGGCTCCGCGCCTTATTTTGGACTGTGTCGCTCTCCGCACCATCAGCGGCGCCTCTCAGTTTGGGTCTGGGTCTCGGGTGTTTGCTGAGGTGACTTGAGTGGACTAGGGGGTAAGAGCTTAGGTAACAGCAGGAGGGAAAAGCTGGTATGTAAATCCAAACCCGCTGCATGTGATCAGCCATGTATGGCAAGGACTATCACATCAGTGGGGGCACAAATCAGTGTCCTCCTTCTTTTCTGGGATACTTACTAGCTGGCAAAGAAAGGGAAGGGGATGGTGGAAAGGTCCAAGCCTCCCTCCACTCTCGTGCAGCTGTGAGTAGCAAATGCAGGGTTCTCCTGTTCTGGGGGCCACGGTGCCGCCCCTTGTGACACGCAGTGGTGAGCACTGAGCCAGGAACAGCGGGCAGCCGCTTGTGTGCATGATCCTTCAGCAAACTCCAGGCCCCGTGCTGCCTAGCACCTCATTTAACTACGAAGCAGGTATTATAATTATTATCCTATATCGATGAAGTAACAAAAATTGAAGAGCTGAAGTAACTTGCTCCTCATCCGCTCCCTCCACTCCCTCAAACACAAGTAACCCGGGACAGCGGGACTTGAAGTTCGGGCCACCTCCCTTCAGGGCCTGGCTCTCAATGTGGAAGCTCCAAGAGGTGGGAGCTAAACAGTTCCTCATAATAAAGGGGAGTGAGCTTGGCAGGGTGGCGCTTTGAAAGGATGTCCCTGAGCATGGACAGTCAGGTCATGCAGGGGTTCTTCAAAGAGAGTAATCAGAACTCCGGCACCACCAACTCCTCCTTCCACGCCCAACCCATCACCAAACATTTAGCATAGTTGCTACAGAAAAATGCTTTGTAAAAGTATCCTTTCCTTCAATGCATCCCATGCATCCCAGGGAAGTTACCAATTTTTACATTTGCAGTGATGTGGCATGAACCAAAGAGAAGAGCACAGTCACAAAGAGATGGAATTTGCATGGGATGCAGTGTCTGTCAGAATTTGAATTCCAAGCCCGTCTGCAGAAACGGAAGATCCTTTAGACTTTAAAAGCTCCAAGGATTAAAGGAATATTGGCTGTGGGGAGCAGAGGGGACACTGGACTCCTCACAGAACATGAAATGGAAATTAAGCCTTTGTTCTTTAACCTTAATTAAAGGCTCGAGGTGGACTCAGGTGATGTCTGGGTACAAAAATAAGAAATGACTGGGAAGGGTGGAGCTTCTCAAAGAAGAGCCAAGCTGGCCATTCTGGGGCAGGGTGGGCCCGTTGCTGTGGTTCCTGCTGGCTGACAAGGGGTTGGGGAGGTAGCAGTGGACACCAAATGAGACAGATAGTTGATACCATTTACAGAAGCAGCTTGCGTCCTCCACCAATTGAGTTGCTACCGTTCCCTCTTTTGCCAGACCCCCAGGATGCACAAGAAAGTATCTGTATCACCAGATACAGGCTTGCCTTACTTTACGGTGCTTCACAGATATTGCATTTTTAACAAATCGAAGGCTTGTGGCAACCCAGCGTTGAGCATGTAAGTCGATCAGCACTGTTTTTCCAACAGCATATCCTCACTTCATGTCTCTGGGTCATATTTCAGTAATTTTCACAAGATTTCAATCTCAGTATTTCATTATTTTTATATTGGTTATGGTGACCTATAATCAGGGACATTTGATATTACTATTATTATCGCTGTGGGGCACCAGGAATAGCACCCATGTAAGACAGCAAACTTACCGTACAGATGTTGTGTGTCCTCTGACTGATCTACCAACTGAATCTTAACCCTGTATCTCTCCCTCTCTTTGGGCCTCCCTATTCCCTGAGACACAACGATATCAAAATGAGGCCAGTTAATAATCCTCCAATGGCCTCTAAGGCTTCAAGTGCAAGGAAGAGTCACCCATCTCTCACGGTAAATGAAAAACTAGAAATGATTAAGCTTAGTGAGGGAGCAGGTCAAATGATTGATGTGCAAAAACGTTTTATAGGCCTAATGTTAGGCCTTTTCTACCAGTTAGCCAAATTGTGAATGCAAATAAAAAGTTTT